TTTCTCATATGTAATTGGGGATGCTTATTAGGCATCTAAGAGGGGTTCTTGAGTAGGGATGTACGCATACAAGTCTTACACACAGGAGGGGGTTCAGCACTGGACTATGAATTTGGGAGTCTGATAGTATTGCAATTGATGGTATTAGGAAGAAAACAGGCAGAGATTAGATATTTAGATGGTGGGATGAATAATGAAGCTAAGAACATGCAGAAGGAGCAAACTGGGCGGCGAGAGGAAACTAGGATGTGGTGCCATGAAGCTCGGGTATGTTGGGACACCATCTCTGAAAACACAAGACCCTGGTTTGCAGTGCCTGCTGATTTTCCTGGTGTAAAAAAACACCCACCATGGCTAATTCAAACTACCAGTGAGTTAAAAGCAGCTCACAAAATTCCTAAATCATCAACAATCAGCTCTCATGGGCCATGAGAACCAGGTCCAGCGCATCATTGCATGGGAATCAAGTAAAGAAAGAGTTTCAAGGAGGAAGGAGTTAAGAGATTAAGTAAAAATGGGAACTGAAATTGGCCATTGGATTTGGCAAGGAGGAAATTGTTCATGACCTTGACAAAAAATGGACTGGGTAAAGTGATGATGATGATTAGAAAAGCCTGTTTGCAATGGCTTCCAGCAAGAATGGACTATGGTAAAGTGGACACAATAGTTGTAAGTGCCTTAGGGAGCAACTGTGCTTTATGTCTCTTTATAACATTTATTATTACCTGACATCGCATATTTTTACTTGTTCTTATGTTTATTGCCTTTTCTCTCCCCTAATACACACTTGAATATAAGTTCCATGAATGCACAGATTGTTTTCTTTTTTGGTGGTATCTTTTTTGAAGATATTGATGTGTCATCAATGCCTATAACAGTTGCTGATACATCTCATATGCATATGTGGAAAACAGTATGCATTTCACACAGAGATGAGCACCAAATAAATCACTGGGCATGACAGTAATTCACCTACAAATCAGAATGAGAAGTCAAAATAGGATTCTAGGCCAGAGCTTAATTTTCAGAAGAATGAAATTATGAATTATAAATAACTGTTTTGTTTTTAAATTATGAAAACACTGCTGAACCATCAGTTATAGACTGTGAAATTTGGGTTGTTTATTCATACTGGGTAGTTCCTAACAATGTGATTAAAGTAAGGTAGTTCTTTTCTTCCTCCAGCTATGTGTGGGGTGTGTGTTGTGTGTGTTGTGTGTGTCTATGTGTCTGTGCGTGTATGTGTGTGTACACTTACATTTTCAATCTGATGGCAGAGCTTGACAATGGAAAGTAACTAAAGCCCTGGAATATGTAATTTCATAATTTTTTTCTCTGTTTTCACACTTAGTCTACAAACCTCCTCTCTATTCTTCACTCTGTACTTCTCATACTCAGACTCTCAAATTTCTATGAAATTTTCTCTGAACCATACCGCCTCTGGTGATCTTTCTTTTCGCTAAACTCCCATATCACTAATTGTGCCTTATGACACCTCCCCAAAGAATTGTAAGCTCTCTAAGGAGTTTCTTTGCCTCAAGGTATACCTGAGACAATTATCTGCATGTTGGAAGTCACTAATACATATTTAATGATTAAATGAATACCTGAAATAGTAAGTGAATACAGATAATGCATAGGTTACCTAAAACTTCTTTCTAATAAGTGCCTACATGTCTATAAGAATTTTTTGAGAAGTCTTTGAATTTTCTCTAACTGTCCATATGTTTTGGATTATATCCTGCTTTATTTCTAATATCACTTTTCAAGCTTTACAAGGATGGATAGGATAAGGCAGTAAAAAAGAAATANACTTATCCAACTGGTCAAAAGATATGACAAAGTTAGATATTTCATTTACTTTTTGTATATACTTAACATGTTTCATTTTATGATCTAAATTGAATACAACTGGAGCTAAAATTTAGTCATTGTGCTACGGTCGGGGGAAATGTGTTCTTCTTGTTCAGGAAATTGTTCTAAAATATAGACAATCTATGAGAAATAAAAATCTAAAAAATATCATATAAATTAATTTTTAAACAGTTAATCTCCTTTGCAATACATTTTATTAACACATTTGTATTATATTGGCCTATTCTTATCTCAAAGGTATTGTTACCTTTGGTGTTACTGAGTATAAGCTGTTATTTTCCTTTTTATCAAATAGTGATGAGAGCACCATATGGCACTAAAAGTTGAACATCTCTTACAACCAAAACTTGATTTAAGTTTTATGCTATTTCCCTCATGGTGAGCATTCTATGATGACTGTAACTTACCTCCTCTCGTTGCTCATCTCCTGACCGCTGGATATACCACTTAATAGATGCTTGTTGGGATTTAGGTATACATTCCAGAAAAGTTGAATTAAATTCAATGCCAAAAATCACCTTTTCATCAGCAGCTTCATGACTAATGCCTGGAAAGCAAACATGGAATAGGAGATTAACCTTGACCTGATTTTAAAAGCAATGGGAAAATAGGCTGATTCAGAACAGATGCCATGGGGAAAAATTCATATACATTATTAAAGAGAAAGGAAATTCATGTTATAATATTGTTACCTAGGAGTCAAATATTATCTAGTAGATTGATTTTTAAAACTCTATCCTTGCATTGCAATTTTCACTCTTTCATCAACATAGTAACTCTTTGCAATTGATTTTTTAAAATAAGAAGTCACAAGATCTAACTTTAAACATTGAGTCTCTTTCTCTGCGCTGAATTGAATAAACCATTAACGTATTTTAATTTGTATAAAATGTAACCAATTTTGTATAGTTCTGGAAGAGCAATTTTCTTCACCTTTAAAAATAAATTCTATCATAAATTGATCCACAGAGCTGACCATATAACACTGAGAAATTCTGATATCAGAAAAGTAAGTACAGTGGTTTATATATACTTGATGAAATTCCATAATGATGGTAGTAAGCTACATGCTGTAATACTCAGAATCAGGACCTCATGTGTATCATCTACAGAAATATGTTCTCTTTTATTCAAAGAGGGATACGTTAGCACAACATGCATTTGCTATAGGATAGTTAGTGGGATGCTAAAGGAGCAGAGTCTCAGACACCTTATTCTCGTAAATCAACCGCACCATCTGAAATACATTCCATCCAGAGTAGCCAAAGGCTGTGTCCCATGTGTGATCTAAGATCTGTAGCTCAAATTTGATCAAATAAAAAATGACGGCTGCACAGCCTGGTCCAAACATGTACTTTTTCATCATATATTCAGATGTCTCAATTCTGCAGATGGGCCTACTTAGCATTTGAGGCATAAACCAGAGTAGGGCTTAAGGGACCTAAGTGAATCCTAAATCTAAGCAAACAAAATTATCAGCAAATGGCATGAATGTACATAAACCCAATAGTTAGGCTTCTTTTCAAGCAAGTTCTTTTGAACTTATTTGTGTTTTATCAGCAATGGTTAAGTAAAGCATGCTGACACCATTATGACCTGCATATCTATCATCTAACCTTCAAAATGTGTGGATTCCATTTGAAATCTGTAATCTATCCACGATCTCTGCCAATTCAACAGATTATAACTACAATTTCCACAGTTAATCAATTTCTAATGCACAGAAAGCTCACCAGTGCCAATCGGGAAGGCAAAGACATGCATCGTTTCATAGTAACATACCATTTCCCTGGGCACAGGGAGAAAGAGAGTTCATTAACAAAGCAGGGAAGATGCAGCTTGATTGTTAGGTGATGGGCAAAGGCTCACAGAAACTCCATTAGAGTGATTCAACCAAAGTATTGGTCAATTTATTGAAGATAAATTAGTGAAATCAACTAGAGAAATGAAATAGTGAGCTGACCTGCATGAAATCCTTTTTCAAGTCAGTAAAATCAGGGACCCTCTGACGTCAAGTCATCACTACATCAGTTTGACTGTTGCTTCCAATAATGTGTGTTTCAGGCCTGAGTGTTAAATTTCCTATTTTTTCATTTAAAAATATATGTATGTATGTGTATATGCATGTATAATATATACATATACATTATCAATTTTAAAGTTATTTAAAATAATGTTTTAAAATAGTTAGTAGAATATCCCCTCATTAAGTGTAAAATAATGTTGAAAATAATTTTTTAATCTCCCATATTATAGTCAAAACATTTTTTTCATAGTGATATATCTGGAATATTTTTAATAACAAATATGTGACATGTCACTGAAGTCATGTATTAGTCA